AACCAGAGTCTTCAGTCACAGTCCTCAACATAACTCAGTTTCCTATCTAACCAGAGTCTCAGTCTTCACAAACTGGCTTAGAAATGTAAAACTAACTATTTAACTAATCAAGAAACCTTGGTCAGTAATAAGCCAAATATTGTTAAATAATGGTGAAACTTTTGAAGCATCAATTTAGCATATCTGTAACAAAAATGGGGACTTTAATTATTACAATATCCCAATTAATTGCTAGGAAGCAACATTAATTTCTAAACTACTGCAATAGAGTCATATTTGTAGCTACTATATAAATATAGAATATGTAATTGATATTTCAAAGATTAAACAGTTATTATTGGCTTCTGCTTGGAACCCCCGGGACAGGCTAAATAGTTATAAACTAAATTTAAACAAAATTAAACAAATAGCAATTATTAATGAAATAACCAGTTTCTCAAGGTGTGTATACATGTATATGTATGCAGAATAAATTGTTCAAAGCGTACTTTTGATTTTAGATGACATAATGACACAGTTCAAAATGTAAGGTACCAGCCATGTAATGCCAATTTTTATACTGGAATATTTGACCTTAATTGTGACAATATTAAATGGGATTCCATCTCTGCCCATTTAGCATCCAAATAAGTGAACCTGACGTCTTCTCTAGAAAAACAGAATATACCTACCGAAATTTCTTATGTCAAATAGCAGTTTCAGCATGGGTTAGAGAGGATTATATTGTGAAACCAATGCAGGGGGGAAATAAGAAAATTAGGAAATAATTAAGTTTTGAGAAGCAGCTCTAGTAAGAATCCTATTCAAGTATATTCTATACAATTTCTGTCAGGAAAATGAGAACAGAATTGCACTGTTAAGATTTGAGTTCAGCAGCACCTTAAAGTTCAACAAGAAGATTTCCAAAGTATAAGCTTTTTGAGAGTCAAAGCTTCTTTTAACACATACCAGTGATGATGCTCAAAAGCTTATACCCTGTATAAGCTATTGTAATTAGAAGGGAAATAGAAATTTGCAGGGTCCAGATGGGGTAAGATAATTTCTAACTCACTATTTGCAGATGATCTAGCCCTGTCAATCATTAAGCCTTTTGCGTCCTTGCCAGTTATTTTAAGGATTTTGCATTCTTTTGTGGGGATCTTGTTACCCCTACCAGCTTAGATTTTAAGAGGCCAAATCGCTGCCTTCAGTCTCTAGGGGAATTTAGCTAAATGGCAAGCCTCAGCAAAGAGGTGGGGTATTAGCGAAGATCTACTACTTATGTCTACGGGGATCTTTCCCTTTGAAAACACTCAGTAACCTATCGAAGGGTAAAATAAAGAATGTTTTATTGAAAGGAAATTAATACACAAGAAGCACCCAGAAAGCATACACATGTACAAGGTCTATGGGAAGCAAAGGGAGGAGTGGGAGAATAGTGGGCAGTGAGGCAATAGCTACCTTTCCTGTAGAGCAAAAATCCAGGGGGAAGAACGACCATTGGTACTTACCCGTGAAGGGTCCTTCTCCTCTGAGGCTTGGAGGACATCTTGTGGGTGATTCGCATCCTTCTTCAGGGAGGCAGGACTAAGTTCCAAACTTCTTCCTGTTTCCTCTGGTGGGAGTCACCCTGGCTCAGTTCGGTGCTCCGAAAGCAGTAACTACATAAAACTTAACTATTCAACAGTGTATTAACAGTAACAGGAAGAGAGTATAAAAATTAGAAGCGTCAAATCAGTAAGTAAGAATGACGACCTGGGAGGGCCAAGATGTCCTCCAAGCCTCAGAGGAGAAGGACCCTTCACGGGTAAGTACCAATGGTCGTTCTCCCCTGAGGCAGAGGTCATCTTGTGGGTTCTCCCAGAGCAGTAACTAATTTGTGGGTGGGAGGTCGTCATCTGTTACAAGAACAGACTGCAAAACGCGACGACCAAATGCCGCATCAGCCGAATCATATACATTGATTTTGTAGTGTCTAATGAATGTGGAAAGAGATGACCACGTGGCCGCCTTACATATCTCTTCCACAGAGGCCCTATTACAGAATGCAGCATTAGTAGCTGCGCTGCGTAAGGAATGTGCCATGATGCCTTGAGGTGGTTTCAGTTTAAGACTCTTATATGCCTCGGCAATACCAGATCTGAGTGTGGAGCCTATAGCAGATGTGGACATCTTTCTTCCGATGCGTGGCGGAGAAATACTGACGAATAAGGATTCTGTTAGCCGTATCGACGCTGTTCTCAAAATGTAGCATTTAAGCGCTCGTCGTACGTCCAAGGTATGCCAGGTTCTTTCTTTTGGATGTTTGGGATTTGGGACGAAGGAAGGCAGACAGATATCCTGAGAACTATGGAATCTAGTGTTAACCTTGGGACAAAAACATGGATTGGTGCGCAACACTACTTTGTCCTTGTGAAAAATACACAGATCCTTCCGGATGGACAAGGCTGCTAACTCCGAGATTCTCCTCGCCGAAGTTATAGCCACTAAGAAAAGGACCTTTAATCTCAAAAATTTCATAGAAATGTCCGCAATAGGCTCGAAAGGCGGTTTGGTCAGGGCTGAAAGGACGGTGTTCAGTTTCCAAGTGGGAAATCTGTGTGATTGTGGTGGATCCTGTAAGGTCGCTCCTCTAAGAAAACGGCAACCGGGTGGATGTTGGGAGACCGGGAGACCACTAAATTTAGGTAACACTGTAGCTAGAGCTGCAGTCTGTCTCCTTAGTGTAGCGGCCTTGAGACCAGAAGAACGGCCATCTTGCAGAAAGTCTAGTATGTACCTGATTTTGGGACGCATAGAATCCACCTTTTTTCTTCTGGCCCAACAAACAAAGGCCTTCCAGGTGACGTTGTAAATGCGTGAGGTGGATTGCTTCCGAGATGCCATGATCGTCTTAACGACAGATACGCTGTAGCCTAATTTTTGAAGCTTGCGCCGCTCAACCTCCATGCGGTCAAGCAGTACCAGGCTGGATTTGGATGAATGATTGGACCTTGAAGAAGCATGTCTTCGGATACTGGAAGAAATAGATGAGGAGATATCGCCAGTTCCTGAAGTGACGTGAACCATGGTCGACGTGGCCAATAGGGAGCCACTAGTATGACCTCTGCTTGAAGAAGACGGACTCTTCGAAGGAGACGAGGAAGAATTGGTAAGGGAAGAAACGCATAGAGTAGTTCCGCCGGCCATGGAGACAGCAGGGCATCTGTGGCTTCCGCCAATGGATGAAAAAATCTGGTATAGAATCTGTCCAGTTGATAATTCGTCTGGGACGCGAAGAGATCTACCTTGGGATGCCTTAGCTTGGTTGTAATCAGGGAGAAGAGGCTCTTGTTCAGTGACCATTCTCCCTCCTGGATCCTCTGCCGGCTTAACCAGTCTGCCTGTATGTTGGTCACGCCCTTGATATGTTCGGCGTGAAGCGACGACAGTCTGGGTTCTGCCCAATTCAGTAGAAGAGTCGCTTCTCGACGGAGACACGGGGATATGAAGCCCCCCCTTTTTTAAGGTAGGCCATAGTCGTCATGTTGTCTGTCCTTACTAATACGTGGTGGCCTGATTCCTGAGAAGAGAAGTGTTGTAGTGCCAGGCGGATGGCACGGAGTTCCAGGAGGTTTATCGGAAGTTTCTCCTCTGCGGAAGACCATGTGCCTCGAATGGGATGTTGTAGTAAGGTCGCTCCCCATCCGGAGAGGCTGGCATCCAACAACAGTTGGATTTGTCCCGTCTTCCAGAATGACTTCCCCTGCGTGAGATTGGACATATTGGTCCACCAGCGTAGGCTTGTTTTGAGTTGTAGGGGAACTTTCAGGGAGAAGTCCATCCACATAGCAATGGAATGTTGATAGGGCCGCAGTAGTTGTTGCAGTTGCCTCGACTGAAATCTGCCCCACTGAAGGGCATCGAAGGCAGCCACCATCAGACCCCCGAGGCGAGTCAGTATTGACAAGGATGAGGTTCTGGCCTGAATAACCTGAGAGGTTAAAGACTTGATCTTCCTTGCTTTTTCTAATGACAGGTATATCTTGGCCGACTTGGTGTCTAGAACCATTCCTAAATGGAGCAGACTCTGACTGGGTATCAAGGAGCTCTTGGCCATATTGACTACTAGGCCGAATTCCTGAAGACACTGGATGGTATGAATCGTGTCCTGTTGTGACTGTCTCTTGGTTGATGAACGAATCAAAATGTTGTCCAAATATGGATGTATTTGTATGCCTCTCTTCCTCAGACACACAATAGGGTGTACTAGTATTTTGGAAAATACACGTGGAGCGGACAAGAGGCCGAAAGGTAAGGCTCTGAATTGAAAGTGGTTCTTCCCCACGCAGAAGCGAAGGAACTGTCTGTGTGTGGGGGCTATGGGGACGTGAAGATAAGCTTCCGTCAGATCTATGTAAGAGAGGTATTCCCCAGGTTTGAGGGCTTCCATGATGGATCTCAGGGTTTCCATGCGGAAATGTCTTAATTCCACAAATTTGTTCACATATTTTAAATCCAGGATAGCCCTCCAGTCCCCGTTTTTCTTGGGAACTGTGAAGAAAATGGAATATACCCCTTTCTTTAGATCCGACGGAGGGACGGGTTCTATTGCGTTTATTGAGAGGAGATGGTTTATCGCTTCCTTGGTCCTTCATCTCTTGTCTTGATTTTTGTGAGCAGGAGACGTGAGGAAACGTGGAGGAGGGAGGGTGCGAAACTCTATCTTGTACCCATCTGAAATAACTTCTTGTATCCATGCATCTGGTTGGGAGGCTATCCAAACCTGTTTGAAAAAAGACAGTCTCCCTCCCACAGGTATGTGTTGGTAGTCATGCCTTGTT